AGAAGAAGAAGAAGAAGAAGAAGAAGAAGAAGAAGAAGAAGAAGAAGGTAGCTAAGAAATAGGTGATTCTTACAATGGGCAGGTACTAGAAAAGTTAGGTCTGACCACCTCAGTGTCTTTATTCAGGAGATACTGCCAGCAGAAGGGAGGGCTGTGTCTAAACAGGACCTGTGTCATGCCTGACCAGAGTGCCCTCTAGTGCCCCCTCCCCCTTCCCCATGCACATCCCTAGTGCTATGACCTTCCTCAATAGCAACTTGCTTTGGGACTGGAGAGATGGCTCAGAGGTTAAGAGTATTGCCTGCTCTTCCAAAGGTCCTGAGTTCAATTCCCAGTAACCACATGGTGGCTCACAACCATCTGTAATGGGGTCTGGTGCCCTCTTCTGGCATGCAGGCATACACATAGACAGAATATTGTATACATAATAAATAAATATTTTTAAAAAATAGCAACTTGCTTTGTTTGCAAGAAAGAAGCCATCTCTTTGAGTCTGATGAGTCCTCGGAGACTTGGTCTGTAATGGACCTGGAAAGTTCCAGTTGCCCAGAGCCCTGAATGACCAATAAGCTCCTTTCCCTTCCCATCCAACCATCCAAAAGTGGACAAACAGGCTCAGGGTCCTCCTTACCTGACCTCCCACCTCCTGGATTTTAGGAACAGAAGAATAAGGGTCCCCTAGGCATGCCCCTAAAGAACCTCTTCACCTGGATCTATAGGTAGGCTTTGGGGAGGAATGGGAAATCCAGCTGTTAGGGGTAAGGTATTTTGGCAACTGTATATCTCTATTGGAGAAACCTCAAAATGACACACAATTCAGAAGAGAAGGTCAGAGGCCTGGGAGTAAGTCAGGCTACTTCTGGGGGAGGGATTTGAGAGGGAGATCCTTGGACAGCAAGCAGTAGCTGCCACTCCAGAGGCTACCTAAGAGCAAAAGAAATAGCCCGGATGATCTCACTAGTTTCCATGTTGATTCAAGGTGGGGAGGCCTGGTTGGGAAGAGGATGGGTTAGACTAAGGCAGACAGAGGCCTGAGAACACAGCTAAAAAGCCTGACACACCGCTACCTCCATCAAGAAGAGAGTTTGGGGCTGGAGAGAGCTGATAGAGAGTGGCTAAGAACACTGGCCCTGAGTTTGGTTTCCAGCACCCACGGCCGGCAGTTCACAAACACCTGTAACTATTGTTCCAGACAGATCCAACACCTCTGGTTTCCAAGGACACACGTGTTTATGTTTGTATAACCACACACAGGTACGCCTAATTAAAGAAAAATTTTTAAGGAAGGGAATGGGGTAGCCCTGGTCCAAATGCCAGGGGGTGGGCCACCTCCAGGCCACTGCTCTCCTCGTGAGGCTGAATCCTGTCCTATCCCAGGTACAAATCTCACACTCTCTCTTAGGCCCCTGCCGAACCCAGCAAGGTCCACGCAGCCGTTCCTGCCCAGCCTAGGCTGGCCACTCACCTTTCTCACAGAGCCCTTTAGCGAAGAAGTTGCATACAGCTGAGCTGGACTCTAGAGAAGAAAACAGGAGAAGGTAGCTTCCCCAGAGCTAAGCTCCCTGCCAGGGCACCCCAAGTTCCTTTTCAGCAAGTCCCACCTAAGCCTCCTACCGGCTTGGATCTGTGTGAGCCCCCGAGTGTTCTTTCTGGCTACCAACTTTGGTTTTTTCCTTTCCAGTGTTGTTCCCTTGTTTCCTTATGACACGAGGTTCGACTCTGCAGTTCGGGTTGGCCTGAAACTCATAGCAATCCTCCTGTCTCAGCCTCATGCTGGCTACGGTTCCTGCCACCCGAAACAGCTGTAATTTGTTCCCTGCTGTGGTGACTGGGAATCGAATGTACCCTCTTCCTAAGCCCTTTCCCCACCCCACCCCGGCCTTCCAGAGTCAGCCTTTAAATGCCACTTAAACTCAGGATATCTCTGAGACAGGAGCTGTAAGTCTTTGGGGGCAGCCAGGGAGCCCTGGAGGCCAGGGAGAAGTTCTGAAATCTGTCTTTCTATCCTGGACAGTGAACCACCCAGAAGCCCTATCGGACAGACAGAAGGAAGTCAGGGAGGACAGCTTCAAGGACCTGGGCAGGGGAACCAGGCCATTGCCACTCACTGTCCATGCCCTGGAAAGGCAGGAGCCCAGTCCCCTTCTGCAATTCCACATCCTGCTCGAACGCGAACGTGAACCCTTCCAGCCCTGCGATGACCTCCTCCATCTTAAGTCTCTCACTGGGATCGCTCCAAGCTAGAGCCCCTACAGGTGGCTCCTATATAATCCATCAACACTTAAGGGGCCAGGCCCTAGCTGATGCTTGCCCCGGGCCTCTCCCCCAGGTCACCTCTTCATTCAGGGTGCCAGTGGCTAGGTGACTGCATATGACTCTCTAACTGGGTTGACAGCTGTCTCAGCCCTCCTACCCAAGCAGGTGCAAGCACCCCCCAGGGCCCGACGCCCCCACACTGTTCCCACAACCCCCATCCTCAGGTGGGGAGGGATTGGCAGACTCACACCTGTTTATCTGTGTATCGCCAAACATAGCCAAACTAAGGCTCCCATTGTGCCTGTGGGGACACAGCCACAGGTGAGCAAGGGAGATGCTGGCGCTAACCTACTACAGAAGTGCCATCGACTGCCTGAGCCTCGGGTGGGGTGTGGCGTGGGACAGAGGAACGCTTTCCCCATTAGGTCCCAGTCACTTTCCCTCTCACAAGGCCCTCTGAGCCTCTTTTCCAGGCTGAATGACGAGCCCCAAGTGTGCTCTCTCCCTGGAAGAGCTCTAAAGGAATGAAGGCCAGAAGAATCGGAAATAGTTGCATGAAGGGCCCTTTGTTTACCCTGCAGGCAATCACAACAGTAAACTCGGCTGGCTGGCGGGTGGAACCAACCCAAGGCTGGTTGTGAGGGGTGGAGGGGGTGACCTCCCAGCTAGGAATCTGCTGGGCCACCCCAGAGCCTCCCCTTCCCAACCACCCCAAAGTGCTTTGAAAATGAAATCTGCATGCAGACGTTGTTTTATTATTATGATGTCAGTCCTGCCCTGCAGGCTGAGGACATCTGAATTGGCTTTCTTAGGAACATTTTTAAAACTCTAATTGAACTAGGCTGTCCCCTCCTCTTGCTGGGTCCTGAACTGGCCTGGCCTCTCCTGGAACCACTGTTTCCGGGACGTACGGGCCTTTGAGGACCACAGAACCAGAACAGGAATGTTCTCCTCCTGGGACCCAGTAGGGAGAGGTAAGCAGTGCCCTGCAGGCCTGTGGCTGAGCGGACAGGATCCAGCCTGCCAGCTTTGTTTCCTGCGGCTGCCACACCTAGGTTTGTTGTTCTTTTGAACTCCAGATCTGAAAAGAAAACAGCTGGAGAGATAAACCCACAGTGGGAATGGCGCGGGAGCTGGGTGAGGCTGGAGTAAGAGCTGCCTGGCATCACCCACCCTGTCCTTGTCCACACTGGACGCTGAAGGCAGAATGGTTATGGTGCTGTCTAGGTCTAGGGTCTAGGGATCCCTGGGGAAGAAGCCCTTGCATCTCTTGACCCTACCCTTAGGTATTGATTAGGTCCTAAGACTGTCACCTTGGGCTCATTTGAGGATCCCACGGGTCCAAAAGAGAAGGCAGAACAGAGGAGGAAGTCAAGGGGCCGAAAGGCCAAGAGCGCAGCACAGAGCAATGTCCTAAAGATGGTGGATCACTGTCCTCAACACTCTAGACAGTAAGTGGTGGATGGAGTGATGAGGGCAGGGAGAAGGTGGCAGAGAGCATGCTAGGAGAAAAGTATAGATACGAAGGGTGATGGGGGTTGGGTGGGCGAATGTTCCAGAAGCGGGGCCAGAGCTAAGACCTGAGGGAAGAAACAAGCATTCAGTGAAGGGGTATAGTGGATGGCAGGATGGGCAGGATGAAGGTAGTGGAGTCTTACACCACTTTGGTGGCTTGCCTTTGTTTTTGTTTTGTGAGACAAGGTCTCTCTTCATAGCCCTGACCAACCTGGAATCCAGGAGGTAGAACAGGCTACAGAGACCCTCTAGGCCTGCCCCTGCTGGGTTGAAAGGCATGAAAGGCATGGTGGGTAGGTTTTTATCACAAAGGTAGCCGAACCTCCCAATGACTCCCTGGAGAGGACGGATGCCAAGGAGGATGGGCTGAGAGGAAAGGCGGGAAGGGGGATGTGAAAGTAAGAGTTGAAGACCTGGGGGTGGGGCCTGAGGTACTTTCTAGAACTCTGTTGCCCCAAAGTGAAATCTCAGACCCTCATTTGAAACGCTTCCCCTGAGTGGAACCATGCCTCTCCTCTCTTAGATCAAGGGGCCATTCTAGCATTACCAGAGCACACTTCTGAATGTCAAAGCATGGGCTCCCCTCCCCTGGCCTTCTCATGGTTAGTGCGCTGCAAGAAAGAGTCCTTCTGTAGTGGGCTGAACTGACCCCTTCTATCGTGGGCGTGGCCTTATTTGGAAATAGAGACTGGAGGCAACAGTAAGTTGTGGGTCTCGAGATAGGAACACCCTGGAATTAGGGTCTGTCCTCAACCCTACTAGTGGATACCTTGTACGAGGAGAGGAATCAGGCATGGCACACCCCTGTAATCCTGGTACTGAGATGCCGAAGCAGGAGCCAGAAGAGTTACAGACCATCTCAGGCGACAGAGTCTATCTTAGAATGCAGAGAAAGGAAAGAATGATTGGAGACATCCAGATCCCGAGGAGACGTGGGGATGAAGGCCACCTGAAGAAAGAAGTGCAGACAGGAGCCAGCCAAACTGCTACCCCAGGAAGTTAAGAACTGCAGGTACTCGTCACTTGGAAGCTACACTGTCCCCCGAGGCTCCAGAGGGACCCGGTGTCAATCACCGGACTTTGCACCTTTGACCTCAAGAACATTAGAGAGAATACTGTCGGTAGTTTTCAGTCCCGTTCTTGTCACCTTCTGCAACAGCTGCCACAAATGTCACACCACACCCCCTGGGGTGTTACGCACCTCACCCCTTTCACTGGTGAGCTAACAGCAGGCGGAAGAAAGGGCTGAGGGTATGGCTCGGCGATGGAAAACTTGCCATACTGTGCATGGCACCCTACGTTCATCCCCTGCCAAACACAAAAAGAAGCTGGACAAATGAAACTGAAGCAGGACACAAAACCAGGAAAGACCCCAACGTGGGGGCTCACGCCTGGAAGCCCAGAAATTAGGAAGCTAAGGTAGGAGAGTTGCCATGATTGTGTGGCTAATCTAGGATGGTGGTTAGCATGAGGATGGCCCCCATAGGCTCACATATGGAATCTTGGTCTCTCCCGGTTGGTGAAACTATTTGGGAAGGATTAGGAGGTATGACCTTGTTGGAGGAGGTGTGCCATTCCCAGTTAGCTAGGATGCTTTCCTTCTCTGTGTCTCTGTCTCTTGCAGATGAACTTTCTCATCAAGATGCTGAGACTTAGTATTAATTATGAAAGCTTGGCCTTCACTTAGGCTTGTTCCTAACTAGTTCCAATAACTTAAATTAGCCCATATTTTAAGGTCTATGTTCTTTTGCGTGATTCGGTTACCTTTACTCTGTACTACTCATCCTGCTTCCTCCACGCCTGGTTGGCAGCCATGCTTTTCTTCCTTTCTGAGTCCTCTCTGTCCCCAGAAGTCCTGCCTAATGTTATGCCCAAATCCGCGAGGTCCCCACAAGAGTCAACAAAGGAGACCAAATCCCATATGTAAAAGCAAAGAGCCTTTATTTTAATCAAGTTTGCAAACTCAGCCTCTCCGCATGTCCAATGTATTGGAATAACCGGAGAGCCCCGAGCTCAATTAGAATTGGGTTTTTATAGTAGTAAAGGTGGGGGTGAGGGGTCTCTGAGGTTCAGGACCCCTGATTGGCTGACATTTGTTTAGGGGTGTCCTGGTGAGGTACACTGGCAGGTGATCCTATCTACAGCAGTTGGAATGTCAGGCATTTCCTTTAAATGGTCTGCTCTTGGGTGGGGGTTGGGTAATCTCAGCTCATGGTGTTTTCCTGCTATCCAGGTATTGCTTCAGGGTAAACTACTGAGACACAGGCCACTTATTCAAATTTATTGATGACCAGAGTCCCAGGTGATAATGGTTGGAAGTAAAGTTGGGTTACCTGCCCAGACTTAGATTATCATGGCTGATCCCCACACCTAACCTCTTCCTGCCCTTTATTAAACTAATCAGTGACACATCTCCACAGAGAGTAAAGAAATATTCCCATACAATTTCCTCCTTTTTGTCTAAATAAAAAGGAAAGGTTTTAACTCTAATATAATAAAATCATAACTAATAAGAGCAATTATCAGGTAAGAATTACATTCACAATGTCCAGTCCATTTGTATTTGGCAAATTCAGAGAAAATACTCTATTATCCATTTTATCTTGGTGAATTTAAAGTTTTATACCCAAACCATTTCTGTCATAACTTGTATTAATTACCATCCTAAACTATCTTTGGAGACCTCAAAACATTTTCTTAGATAAGCAATTTAAGTTTTTATGTCTCTCAACCTTATACATTTTATATCTCTTTTGTAAGTTTATATTTTGAATTTGGTAACAAAGAAAACTAACTATTCTTATCTCATCTTCAACTCCACCAGAGAACCGAGAAGGATACATTATTACCTAAGTAAATAAGAAGTGCAGGGCAAGCAACTTCCAACGCTATAGAAATTATACAAACAGCTGCCTGGACAGTTCCCCAGGTTTCCCCTGCATTGTTGAGGCATCCATCTTTGTCCTACAGGCCTAGACTATCCAACAGACTTTTCTGTGAAGCAGGAATAATTGAATGATTGTCCTATAAATATAAATATATCTCTGTTTGACCTTGAAAATATACCTAACATGACTATAAGTTTGATTGTTATAGGTGACTATTAACCTATATTTCTTTAGTATCCTAAACAGACTTCGAGGCTTAAACTTTACATTACCTTTTTAAATGAGCCGCATAGGTACAATACCTTAAACAAGAATAGAAACATATATACAGTATAACAAAATGACCTTAAATTGGTATAATTATACAAAAATTCCAACCTATGTAAATTATTTGAAACTAGTGGTTGCTTTTTTTTTTTTTTTTTTTTTTTTTTTTTGGTTTTTCAAGTCAGGGTTTCTCTGTGTAGCCTTGGCTGTCCTGGAGCTCACTCTGTAGACCAGACTGGCCTGAAACTCACAGAGATCTGCCTGTCTCTGCCTCCTGAAGTGCTGGGATTAAAGGCGTGTGT